GAAATACAATATCATTGCGGACTGACGGTCCGATTTCTTCTATGACTGAGGGCCAAGATATCGCAGAGAGGGGAGGTTGACCCGTGGTCCCTGTCGAAAGGATTACAAGGCAAGGGGGGGGGTAAACAGGGAGAACATCGGGGGGGGGGGGTGTGATGCCGATTCACGCAAAATTCTTACAGTAATCTTCCATAAGATTTGGATCCATAATATGTGTGCTTTTTGTTATGAGTGGTGTGAGCACTCGCGGCCAGACAGCTTGTGGAAGCGATATAGCATCACATTCAGGTAGTGCTATCGAGAGAACGATTACAGAATGCTCTAGCTGGAAGTTTTAAACAATTTTGATTCATGGAAACAACGAGAACGAATGAAGGGAGTAAAAACTCCGGCAAAAAATTAATATCAAAAACGTATAGGAAAGTAACGAAACTAAAGAACCGGGGTAAATGTGATAGTTTAAGAGAGAGCGCGGCTAATTCGCGGCAATGGTTAGAGGTACTGGACACCGCGCAGTCGTTGGAACTCGATCATGAAGGATGGTTCGAATTCCGCGTTTCGAAAAGCTGGCCGAGTCTTTCATCTTCCGAAGAGTCGATGAGTTTGATAGCGGGGACTTGTCCTGGAGCACAGCGGCACTGACTTGTAACATTGGTAGGCCATAATGGCCAGATTTGCGTTCGATCACCTTAAACGATGCTACGGATGGAACTAATGCATGGCGCATCCCTCGTTGATAAGAGCTTCATCCTTGAACCTCTGATGTATATCGAATTCGAAAGAAAGTACCAGTAGAGAATTTCAGCCCTAGGGTGCTAAGCATGCGCATGTGCGCAGTGGTTAGAGGTGCCCTGCGTCGCACACGAGGTCAGTGGTTCGATCTCGCGCTCATGGTTCACCAGCTATCCATTTCTCCGGGGTCGGTAAATTGCCGTACCAGACAGGTCTCAGGTGCTTGTATGGGAGGATGAGCAGCGACTGAATCGGTTCAGCGGGAGGCCATTCGCGAGTTATTGTGAAGGCCAGATATGCATTCAATCACCTCAAACGAAGTTAGAAATTGAAGTCGAATGCATGGCACATCCCAAAGGGATGGATCAACGCCGAGCGCTTTATCCTTCTTATCGCGCTTTAGGGTGCTAAGAGTGAGCCCAAGGCTCTCCTGCGCACTAGAGATCTGTTCGGAAAGTCGCGATGGGAAGGAACCCCTATTCACTTTGATAACCAATTTCTGGAGGGAAATTGAAATAATTTAAATGGGCCATCATTCCATAGTGTTTAATTCGAAGCATAGCAAACGAAGAAAAATTGACTTCTAATGAAATGAACCAGCGTCAAAAAAAGCTAAGTGCTACTCTACCCAAAACAGAGAGAAAAGAATATTTCATCCCTCTGCGGACGATGACAGTCATTTTGACTATCCAAATTTTCGGAGGTTTTTTTCTATGAATAAAGCTTCTCATTAAGAATTTTGAGCAATTCTGTGGAAAACTTCAATCTCGCGATTCCGATAGCTTGCTTGGTTTTCAGAAAGGCCTTGTGAAGTCGGCGTTGTAGCATGCAAAAATAAAATCATGTTTGACACTCAATTCGCCTTACTTGCCCCAGCTGAATTCTGTGCCTGGACAATTATTTTTGAGAGCCATGCTATGTGGCCTGCTTATGGGCAATTTAATACAGCCCGATACACGTGTTTCGGCCTTGGCAGCCTCATCAGTTGAACAGGGCCTTCGTCTTTAGCTCATTATCTCGGGTGGAAACCCAAACCTCCTACATTGAGAAGGCGCAGACGTACTATTTACACTTTCCATTTGAGTGGCAATATCACTAACGGGCAGTGCTGTGCACTCGATCGCTCTTGGCTGTGGTAAACATGATAAAAAGGATAAAGCTCTCGGCGTTTGATCAATCCCTGAGGGATGCGCGCATTCGTCTTCAATTTTCTAACTTAGTTTAAGGTGAGTGAATGCATATCTGGTCATTGCAATGACTCGCGATGGCCTCCCGCTCAACCGAGTCTTCTAGAGTCTGAGACCAGGCTGGGTACCAAATTTACCGACCCCGGAGGGATGCATGGCTAGGTGAGCCATAAGCGCTAGATCGTTCATTGACCTCGTGTGCGAGACGCAGGGCACCTCTAACCACTGCGCCACATGCGCTCCTTCTTGACTGATATCGTCAAAATATATCATACTTTTCGTGTCGAGAGTGTATTCTTAAGTCCCAGCTCAAGTTTCAATATGCCTGATAATCAATTTTAAGTACGTCTGAGCATTCTCTTACGTAGGCGGTTGGGCTCCCGCCCGAGAGGATGGCTGAAAGACAAAGGGCACTTCCCAAATGACGAGGTTTCCAAGGCCGAAACACGTGTTTTGGCTGTATATATGTGCCCATAACAAACAACATGTATGGCTCAAAAAATAACTGCCAGGCATACTGGAATTTGAGCGTGGTTTTAAGAAAACGCTCGAAACGAAAGCCATAAATTATGTGGATTGTTTTTCATTAAACAACACTGATCTCTTCGATAGCTCAAATCTCGGAAAATTCGAAGCACACAAACTGGTTCTCGAAAAGGTCTTTATAGCGCACTGTGAGAGCTTAAATAAAATTACGTTTCACATTCGGAGTTTTCTTTGCACATACGAATTATATATGCACAAAAAAACACACCAATTTGTAGAGAAAACCACGTTCTATCAGACTGAGACAAAGAACTTGAAATCTTTCCCGAAAACAAGGAAAAAAATCTCTGTTGAAACGCGGAAATCGCACGCCACGGCGACGATATCGATTACGCTGCCGTCCGCACAAGGGCTAAATTATGCAGTCAGTCTCCTCATCAGAAAGCAAGGTATCTGGGGATCGATTCTCTACCCCGACACTCCTGTAGATCACATGGTAAGATCTCAGCTCGGCAATGCTGAAGATTAGGGGAAGAACTGGTTGTGACAATCCATTGAAAAAGATCGAGATCGTCAAGTAGCCAAACGAAACCCAAATGGACTTTTTCGGGGCAGAACGAGTGCTTAGACGAGGTCCTGATGAGTGCCGGGACGGGTGACGGCCATGACGATAGAACCCGCAGATTGCTGCTTGACATTGATCCCCCGATTCCCGGATTCCCACAAAGACTTTTTTCCGATGATTCAAACAAACTGGGGATAGGAGCTGATTCGAACTGATTGATATTGAACAAATATTGGAGGATCAGAGAAAATTGAGGGATAACAACAAAGCATAGAAGCAAAACAATTAAAGTATTTCTGAAAATGAAGCAAGCTGGATAGAGCCAATCATCACAATTCATCAAAAAAACAGAATTATTTGCTCAATGACGAGATCAATCGATAATCTGAGTTGGGAAAGCCAATTCGGACCACGAATGTACACCTCTCGAATTTCTGTAGATCACAAAAATCAATAGTTCTGTACTTAGAAAGGGGGGTGCAATTATCGCAGGTAGGGCACTAACCCGTAACGGCGCGTACCAGCTAGTACAGACTATCGACTAACCCCGGCATTAAGCAATAATTTCGTGTTGTTTGATGAACGATCCCCAAAACGATGAATCACAAGCAAACTAGCAATGCTGGGGACCGTGGCCAAGTTGGTTTTTGATCATCGGCGAGGGTCTGCCCCGCTCTCTGTCTCACTCTTCCCTCAGCAGTCTCCGGCAATCAATAACGGACACCCTGGCCTGGCTATCCTCGATAGATAGTGAAGGAACACTGTGATACGGATCAAATGAAGTGAAGACTCAATGATGTGGAGTTAAGTGTAAAACTTGACGGGTTACACTGTTGACGCCAACTACCTGGGTCAACTGTTGACGATCGGTTACCGACAGGTAAATGCGTTGTAGTACAGAAAGATTGATGGCAAAACGGTCGTTAAAGTGCAATGGGTTAGAGCACGAGCTCCCAGATAGAGTGAGATGCGGGTTAGGGTCCCGCCTCACGCAGAAAGTTTTGCACATCACTTGACGGCGCGACTGGGTTCACTGTCGATACCGACTAACTAGGGGGCCAACTGTTGACGATTGGTTGCCGACAGGTAAATGCGCTGTAGTATGGAAAGAGTGATGGCAAAACGGGCGTTAAGAGTTCAGCGGGTTAAAGCACGCGTTTCTCAGATAGAGTGAGATGCGGGTTCGAGTCCCGCTTCACGCAAAAGTTGTGCTCGCCACTCTACATTACTGGGTATATCTATAACATCATATCATCGCTAGAAGCGGTGAGGTGGTAGGTGTTCGATTACAGTTGTGAAGTAAGCAATGTAGCGATGTTCCGTTCCATTGCTTTCTCAAGACCATGCTCAGATATCAATGTGCCTGGCGATTATTTTTTGAGCCAGTCGAAGTCCGTGTTTTATCGTTCGATGAAGTTGAAGAAGCACATCAGCAGTTCTTCGAATCGAAGTCGACGGAATAGTGCTTCGACCACGTCCGAAACTTGTAGGACCGAAGGCAGAAGTCGTAGAAAACGATCGCGTGTGTTTCGAAGAGTAGTTATTATTGTTTTTTTTGGAATTGATAGATAAATTTTCAATTGTTTAGAAGTGTTCCAAAATTTGCTTCTCAACCTAATATTTCCAATTATTAATGCTTATTTTTGCGAAAGAAGGCCAAATAGGACCCAGTGTGCAGGATTATAAGTGACTGAGTAATTTGCACTTCGCTGAAGTCCTGAGGGTGATTTAACTGAAATTTTCCTCCTGTCGTCCACATGGCAGGCTGTCGCCGGCACTTATGGGTTCCGAGGAGAATTGTAACGTTTCGACTCATTTGACGGCGGTGATTCCCTATGTCGGTTTGAACTTCGTTGTGTTTGGATGTAAGTGCTGAACTCCTTCTTAGCTTAAAAGACCTTACTGGTGATATAAATTCCTCGCTGTACTCCGCAGTTGGGCATACCGGAAACATTTCATACAACAATGAGCTGTTAAACCAGAACAAATCAAGGACTCTAGTACTGCATCGAAATGTACCAAGATTTTTACGCTTCTATATATCAGATTTGGGCATATTGTCAGCCCAGTATTTGGAGTGCTGTGCAAAAACGTTTGCGTCAGCCGGATTCGAACCCAGATCTCACTCTTTCCGGGAGCGTATGCTAACATTGCACTACCGACGCTCGTTTTTGCATAGCACTCTTATTTACGCTATAACGCGTAGTCTGCCAACATCCAACCGTCGACGGTCTGGCGGGGCAGCCGCTATCTCGGATCTGGGTTCGCATCCCGGCTGACGCAAACGTTTTTGCACAGCACTCCACATATTGGGTACACTATAACATCATACCATTGCAAGTGGCAGTCAAAAGAGAAAGAATTTAGACTGATTATCGACGTAATTTCTAAAGCCCCTAATCCCTTGCCTTACTTCTATGAAGCAATATACTGCCAAAGTTGCTTCTTCGACAGCGCGTGCAAAAATTCTGACAGCACTTCTCCTCTAATTAACATGGTATCCAAATGTACGAGACTGTTCTCTGATATCAGTAATGTACAGAGAGCAGACAACTAAACATGGCCCATCTATTGTTAGCTCTATACTCCTAATGATGTAGAGTGGTGTGCAAAAACGTTTTGCGTCAGCCGGGATTTGAACCCATATCTTACTCTTTCCGGGAGCATGTGCATAAACCATTGCACTACCGTTTTTGCACACCACTCTACATCATTGGGTTCAATTTAACATCATAACACCGCAATCGGCGGTCAAATAAGATGATTTCCGATTGATTATTGAAACCTCTGTACTCTTATGAACCCGCCAAGTTCTTCATTTTATCTTGTTTTGCCATAAAACTCTGTTGTGTGAAATGATGACCTTAAGGCGCAGATGAACGCAGCAGGCTTTTTCGGAGACTTTTGTACCCTTAATCTCTAAAAGAACACCATGATATCGATAGTTTTCTTGTAGCGATACCTTCCAATCGCTTATTTTGAAACTTTGCTTGAATACTCAGTGTAGTCTTATAGAATGTTTTGAGCCGCTTATGACGTCTGCTACGGCAATTCGGTGCTAGGTACGGTACGCTTCGGTGTTACCCCCATTACTTATCAGTAGCACATGTCTTTCGATTCACTCCCACAACTTATGGCGGCGGCGCCGAGCATGCATCATCCAGATCAAGTGAAAAAAGATCGCTTGATATTGCGGTCCGGAGTGATTTTTGAGTAGATGGCTCACGGCTGGTAAGACGGCATATAGCAATACCTTCCAATAGGCTATTTCGAGAACTCGCCTTCCATTAGCCTGTAGGGGTAAAGCGAAAGCCATGTGCTACTGATGAGGCGTGCGAGTAGCATCGAAACGTACGTATAGCACTCGAAATGACGTATCAAACCTTTTGAAAGGCTTCAAACATTCCAAAAGATTTTATCAAATAGTTTTCTTAATTGAGCACCTGTCTTAACGCCATTCTGTCGTGGGTAGGAGAACTTTTTAATATGCCTTTACAACGTGCCTTCTGACTTATTACTCAAAATCTGAATTCCATACGATTTAGTTCCTTGCATCCACCAATCACAGAGGTTTTCATACTTCCTGCATGTAGGTTCGGGTTGCAGTCAGAGGATTCTCTTCTTCGTCTCAAATCTCATTAAGCTCTGGTCGAGTCGATTTTTCTTGTTATCCTGGAAAAAACGTGCTTGGTGTCTCTGCATAAAGTAGGGGGGTTGTTTCACGGAAATCTGAAACCAATTTGTCAACGCTGGAGAGCTGAAAGGTTTGGTGGGCGCGGCGTAGGGTTGAACAAGTATCCTAGGTTGCTTGAGCCGACTTGTAATTCAGCTTATAAAGAGTTTCCCATGGAGTGGTGTAGCATATATATCCAGCCACGATATCCATGAGGGTTCTTTTCGCTTATAAGGGGACAAATGAAAAATCGACCTCATTCGCTGGACAGGAACTTTTCATAGGAGTGTTAGTGACCATTCGAAAGCTGAGACTTCAGGCTAAAGTCCCACGTCGCTGGTTTTCGAAAAGCCGCTCTGTCCGGCGAGAAATAGGGGCACCCTAGGCTAGTATTATCTTGGATTCCACAGTGTTATAAAAGGGTGTTTTGGAAAACCGACGACGTGGGGCTGTAGCCAGGCATGCCAGCTTTCGAATGGATACTAGTACCCCTATGGGAAGTTTTTGTCTAGCGAATGAGATCGGTTTTTCATTTGTCCCTTCATAACCGGAAAGAATTTCATGAGGTTTCCAAAAGGAGTGTTTTGGGCGCCTAACTGGTGGCGTTCCTTGGTGTCCAACTGCGATGTGCCGCGAGCAGTTTTGATCCTCAATATGTTCTCTAAAGTGCGAGGTTCACATTCCCATCTGGATGCTCTGGATGCCCACACCTACAATCCCGAATAAGACTTCGCAGGTAAATTACACGAAGCGCAAAACAGCCTTGTAAGGGACCAATTAGATTTTGGTCCCTGTTGTGTGATGCTCGAGAAGTTGATCCTCCAAATACCACTGAATCCCGATCGCGGTGGCGCTTAACCCCTTGAGGACCAGCGTTGTTAGGCACGCGCCGTCGTGCCGTCAGTTGCGCGTAAGTCGGACACGCGTCATACAAGCGACTCTACACGTCCGTACATGCGTGTCTGGCCGTCTGCCTGCTTTCCCACAATACGCGACGCCGCCATCACAGTAGCTGAGTGAGACTTCACGTCGCGCGGTACGCATCAAAATGACCCTCATGGTCGTGAATGGGTAAGCGATCCAGGCATAATAAACCGATGTTGAAACGATAAAGGTTTAAGCTCTCGACGTTGATTAATCTCTGAGGGATTCGCCATGCATTCGTCTTCAATTTCTAACTTTGTTTGAGGTGATTGAATATACATCTGGCCTTTACAATGACTCGCGGTGGCCTCCCGCTGAACCGAGTCAGTGACCAATCTACCGACCCCCTGAAGGATGGATGGCTTGGTGAGCCATGAGCGCGAGATCGAACCATTGACCTCGCGTGCGACGCAGAGCACCTCTAACCACTGCGCCACATGCGCCTAGACCGAAAATAGTGTGCTCTAATGATAAAGTGGTGACAAAGTCCTATAATATTTCAGACGGAATTTCGGAATAGATTTTTTTTTTACAAGGTGAGAGTCTTCTTTTTCATTTTTTTTTCCAATCGATTGCAAATCTACTCGTTTAGACCGTATATACTTTGTTTATTAGGCTAGTAGCCCGAAGTTGTCAGTAAACGACATATTTGGCGGGCTTTTCGAATAATATTTTTTAATAAACTTTCTTGGATGTTTTCTTCGAAAATATAATTTTTCCATGTTAAACTTTCGAAACGTTAGCCTAATAAAAGTATTTTTGCAACAACCTCCTGCTACAAGGCTTAGCCCCTAAGGAACGACGTGTTCCAGATGAGGTACACGATATAAGTCAGCCCTCTTTGATAGACCACTGACATGCGTGGCTCAAAAAATGATCATCAGGCATACTGAAATTTAAGCTGTGGTCCTAAAAAAACACTCGAAACGACAGATATGATTTATTGAATATACTAGCCAAGAACAATCGAGTGTACAACGCTCTATGTTCGGTGAAATTTTCACTGGACATAGAGTGTAAAACGTTCGTCGTCGCTAACTTTTAGTGTGGGGACTGGAGCACTCACAGAGATTAGCAAAAGACGAGAAAGGGTAACTGCCCGACTGACGAGATCGCAAGATTGAACACGTGTATCGGGCTCTATAAGTCAGCCCTCATTGACACACCACTGACATGCGTGGCTTAAAAATATTCATCAGGCATAGAGGTACGCGATTGTTTGAAAGCCTTTCTCGCTAAACGGAACCGCTCTCTTAGACACTTAATGATTATTTGAAAGCTTAAATCTCTGCGATTTCAACAACATGTTTGATTTTTGAGAAAGCCTTATTCTTACTTTGTAGCAACGAAAATAAATTTGTTTTAAATTCGGTTTGCTTTATTTGTTCGGCTAGGGCTTGTATATGGCTCTCGCCAAAGTCTTACTAGTCATTGGATGGCCGAAATCTCGAGAATTCGATGCTGTAGTTGTTGTTTCGGAAAGGTTGTCATGAAATGCTGTAAGAGCGGAAAGAAAATTACGTTTCGCACTCAAAGATTCTATGGAGGAGATAAGATTTATATGCTCGAAAAACATATGATCATCTAGAGAAAATCATGGAGTATCAGAGTACTCGAAAAACCCTCATGGTTTTACTCTCCAACTGAAGGAAAAACCCTAATTGAGTCACGAAAATCGCGCGCCTCTTACGAGTTGCGCTGTGCGATCGACCAACTGCCGTCCCCAAAGGGTTAATCAACAAAAAAAATTTAGATTGACTGGTTACGCCGAGCTGGGACGAAAGCCGCTTTTCAATAATTTTTACTCATAATTGCTTCTATCCTTAAAGTTTTTTTTTGATAATGAGGAAATGATTTTTATAAGGTAATCGATTATCGATTGGTAATACCGAGATCGAAGGGAAGTCGATTTCTAAATTAGAACTGTTGAAATCGGCGATTCTTGAGTTCATAGCTCTGACCTCTGACCTTTGCTCGACCACTTTCGGTTTCCGTATTGATCACGAGAAATCCTTTTTTCATCTGTTTTCGTTTTTCCTTTTCCTTCTATATTCTACTCTTCCTTTCCTTCATCATTTCTTTTCTCTATTCATTCTTTTCCTTTTATTTTTACTGGTTTTATAACAAATACATCAAACTTCGTATCAAGTGGACCGCTTTTGGATAAATTTCCCATTTTGGTACTTTGTCTCTACATTTTATCTTAAGTTCAATTTCATCTTGTCTTGTTGTTATTCCTAATCCTATATTTTTCTTTCTTTCTGTCTAATTTATTCTTTCCATTTCCTACCAATGGTTTACCCCCTCTAGTGGCTGGGAGATGTTCCTGGTATCGGAATGCGAAGTACTACAGCGGTGGATTCAGCACCCCTCCCCCTCCCCTCTCCTTGCTAACCCGGCCACCCAGACTGAAAAGAAGTCCTACGTTTTCATACGGACAGCCTAGCTAGGAGTAACCCTATACCAGGAATGACCACCGTCTTGATAGCTACTAGCCACAAGTTGGTATCCTCCCTTTGATCCACAAGGGCCTGCGACACCTCTAATGGTAGATCTAAGGAAACCCGGCTAGGCTTGCCTCGTGACTCCAGGGAACAGAACAGCTAAACCAGCACAGTTTTTCCTATGCTAGGGCTCGCACTATCAATGAGGACAAGCCTTTCGAGTATCCAAGTATATCCATTCTATTTGTATCTCAGCAGGCTTTGAAGTATTAAGAACTACGAAGCAGAATGATTTTTGTGATTGCTCCATTTTGAAGAATGATTGCTGAGATTTTGTTAACTGCTCAATAAGTTATCTTTTCTATGGAGTTTTTTGAAATCGATACTTACGCTTTCCTGCCGGATATAGCGCCATAGTGTAGAAAGAGCTATGTGCAAAATGGGCGTCAGTAGTGTTACGGATGGAGCACGCATTCCCGGAGAGTGAGATGCGGGTTCTAATCCCGCTTGACGCGAAAGTTTTGCACATACTCCACATCAGTGGTAATCTATTTGAAACATCATAACACCGCTAGAAGCGGTTAAATAAAAAGAATTTCGTTTGAGCTTCCCTGTCAATTAAGGTTTTTTCCAGTCTTTATAGCCTTCTGTTGACTAGAGAAAGCTTCTTCAGGAAGACTCTCGAGCCCTTTCGGAACCTACTATAGTACACTTCTTAGCTTCTTATCAACTATCTTCATAACATGACCAGTTCATCTGTATTTGGCCTTCGCTGCGTTTTCCGTTCAGTCTCCAAGAGAAGATGCTCTCCGATTTCTCAGATCAGACCAGATGTTACCGTTTTTTTTTGAATTTGGATAGAATTCCAATCTTTGGCTCAGCTAAGATTGTTCGAAAGTGCATCTAGAATGTTGCTATCACTTCCCAAGTGCTCTATCCTTTTGGTACTTTCTATTAACAATTGTCTTGTCTGAATAGATTAATTTAGCTTGCTTGACAAGATCAATTCCTTGTTGCCTCTGTGCGCTGAATTTTGAGGTTCTCTCTGGCCATATGTATATGCATATATTGGGTCTTCTCATAGGTTTTGGCCTAGAGTAATGAACACCAAATTTATTAACTAGAAGTAATCGGAAGTAAACAGCTAAGGTTAGCATACGCTCCCGGAAGGAGTGAGATCTGAGTTCGAATCCCGGCTGACGCAAATGTTTTTGCACAGCACTCCACATCAGTGGGTATAACTAGAAGCGATCGAAAGTGCATGGCAAAACTATTCAAATTATGCGCAATCAACCTGATTACATTTCTGCCATCTCTCAGGCAACAGGTCAATGCCGCTTTGTGCAGAATTTTCTCAGAGCTCTTTTGGTACCAAATTTGTCCATACTTGCCGCGTCACGACCGCTTAACGAAGCCTTTATCGCAGATTGCTGCTTCACAAGTACGAATTGGGACGCGATGCACAGACCGCCGTTGAGAACATCAACCGTGCAAAGGCTCGAGGATTTGTGTTCAGGTGAACATCGTCTCGGTTCTTTGCTAAGTTTCACGCCGGCAACACCAACTTGAAGGACTAGCTGCGCTCTGGACATTCGCGGGAAGTTCATCGAGAGGAAGTTGACCGAGCTGGGCTGAGAGCTGCTGGATCATCCACTATACAGTCTTGACTTGTCGTCGTCTGACTATGACGCTTTTCCGGTCGCTGGAACACTTCCTGAGCAAAGAGATGTTCCGAAACATCAATCGTTTGCGTCTAGGATTGACAACTTCCTTTGTATCCAGGCGCGACGAGTTCTATGAGAGCGACATTGATTTGTTGCCTGAGAGATGGCAGAAATGTGTTCAGGCTGATGGCGCATAACTTCGAATGGTGTTGTTGAGCAGTTCTAATTTCATCTGGTTAGTAAATTTGGTGTTTATCTTTGCAGTGCTAGAACTTATGGGAAGACCCAATATGTACATGTATATATGTATATACGTATACGTCTACATATGTATGTATACGTGTATATACATTTGTATCTACATATTGCTAGAATAAGACCCAATATGTACATGTATATATGTATATACGTATACGTCTACATATGTATGTATACGTGTATATACATTTGTATCTACATATTGCTAGAATACTCCAGATTTTGGATCTACAAAATGGACGACGAAGATGAAGTTCCTGTGCCAAAACGACAGCGGTTTAAGGTAGAGTATTTATTTGGCTTTTTTTTCACCACATTTGTTTCCGTTTAGATTACTTTTTACGTTCGGTTTCAGCATCTCACTTTCAACCAATGTGTAGCAAAAATCGGAGGCGACAATGCTAAGTTCAGTCGACAGTTAATGTATCGAACTGATGAGAACGAGTCATTGTTTTTCACGGAAGCACTAACAAAATGGAACGATATACATTTTTGGTGTGCAGTATAGTGAGTTTTTCATTGCTTTTTTTAGATGCTCAAAAGTTGGAATGTATATTTTGTATCTTTTCCATTCTATTTCCTTTGACCCGTCTTCACAGGTAGCGTGTCGTTCTCGTCAGTTCCTACATTCCACTCGTTATTTCACATCTATTATTCTCTGATATCGCAAAAACAGAGAGCGCATGTGGCGCAGTGGTTAGAGGTGCACTGCGTCGCACAGGAGGTCAATGGTCCGATCTCGCGCTCATGGCTCACCAAGCCATCCATCCCTCCGGGGTCGGTAAATTGGTACCAGACAGGTCTCAGACTTGTCTGGGAGGATAAGCAGCACTGACTCGGTTCAGCGGGAGGCCTCCGCGAGTCATTGTAAAGGCCAGATATGCGTTCAATCACCTCAAACGTAGTAAAAAATTGAAGTCGAATGCATGGATCATCCCTCAAAGATTGCTCAACGCTGAGAGATTTATCCTTTATAGAGCTTTATTATCGCAAAAACCTTCTTTTTGCGTGTAAGTTCGGCCTCGGCTCGAACATTTCCGTCTTCTTCGTAATTTCCTCGTTGAATCTGATCGAGTCGATTCTCCAGGGAATTTTGGCATAGCCGTTTTTGTAGCGTTTTCATGTGGACTGATGGAATGCCAGATCTCAGACGGATCCGCTACGAACTTGCTAACATCGGAGGGATGAAAGGATCAATGGGCCTAAATGGCATCGAACCAGGGTGTTTTGCTCATCACTGCAACGACTCCAACCCCTCATATTCGTGTATGTTTGTATCCACATGCATACGTATAACACACACACGCTTGGCCCACCTTCACGAGGGTGAGTGCCTCAGCACGTTTTTCAATTCGTTCCTTTCTCACGCAGATCGCGACTCCATGGTCATAGTCGGCTTCGTTATCCAGATATGAGCGACATACATCCATTGATCCTGAGACAGTTTCCGAAATCCGGATGGTTGACGTGAGCCACGATGTCGGTTGGCTCATCATATAAATGATTGCCTGAGGGACTTTTAGATACTGTTGAAGTCACTACCACAGTTTATTTTCGTCCATCTATCATCTGTTCTTGATATCTCGCCGGCCCGTATCCTTTGTTATCGATGTGTGTTCTCATAGGTCGCGAAGGTGGGATGGACTTCGAAGACCAGCGCTATACAAACAATGTAAACTTTGGATGCGCAGGAGAAATAGAGAATATCCAAATACAGAGCCCATGTGGCGCTGTGATAGAGGTGGGTTGCGTCGTATACAAGGTCGACGGTACAGTCTCGTACCTGTGGTTCACCAAGCCATCCATTCATCCGGGGTCGGTTAATTGGTCCGGACTAATCGCAGACTTTTCTGGGAGGATAAGCAGCACTGACTCAATACAGTGGGAGCCACCGCGAGTCGTTCTAAAAAGCGAAATATGCATTCAATCACCTCAAACGAAGTTAGAATAGGAGGCGACTGCACGGCGCATCCTTCAGGGATTGATCAACGCACAAAGCTTTATTATTCATCTTTTATCCTTTTATTCAAACGCTGCGTGATTGGGGAGCAAATTGTGATGCAATCGAACCTGCAACCCACAGCTTCAGCGTGCCTTTGCATCATCACTGAGTTGTGAGGTTCTTCAAAATAAAGAAGATAAACGCAATGATTTACGCCCACCAGCTGGTCACTATCTTTTCTGAGAGGCTCGAACGCGGCCCTTGCTGTTTTCCTTGTTCTGTTTAATTGTTCCTCGATGATATTAATGATCATTGAGCGGCTTAGGTTCGGATATGACGTAGTCCCAGACCGTATCTTTTCGATTGACTAGAGTTGCAGCGCACAACATTTTCCACTTATCTACGGTCCAGTTCTCTCTCACTTCATTGAGCTCGTTGAGCACCGTTTCTGCTTTAGTAGTACCCCTGGAAGACATGGTTATGTGCCAACAAAGTGAAGATTTGGAAGAGATTTTCCACCAACGCGTCGTATGCTGTTCTCTTCTCGGTTCGAACTACTTCGATGTCCTTTGCAATTCGTCCTCTGGCAGACTAGTACCGTCTTGTCAAACCCTCTTCCCGATGGTTTACAGTGAACGATTGATGGTGTTAGGGGTGGTAGTGCGAAGTTATTTTTATATCGTTACATTTTTTCTATGCGAATCCTGGGACTTCTTTCATTTGATTCGTTTTTCCCTCTATAAAGATCTTCGGACATTTCGAGTATTGTTTCGACTGCTGTTTGAGTATTCTCTTTCCTTCTTGAGTGTTGTAGAATACAGATAGGCCGGTTTCCTTGCAGTCCTTGTAGATAGCCAGACTAGGGCGTTCTCAGTTGCAAGAGAGTGTTGGGGAACGGTGAAAATTGAGAAAATCCCTTCCTGATGAGGTGCACCAGTAGCCACTTGACTATCGCCCCTCCGTATATTTATAGATGTGTATGCATATATATATATATATATATATACATTTTTTATACATAAGAGCGCATGTGGCGCAGTGGTTAGAGGTGCCTGCGTCGCACACGAGGGTCAATGGTGCGATCTCGCGCTCATGGCCCCACCAAGCCATCCATCCCTCCGGGGTCGGTAAATTGGTACCAGGCAGGTCTCAAGACTTGTTTGGGAGGATGAGCAGCACTGACTCGGTTCAGCGGGAGGCCACCGCGAGTCATTGTAAAGGCCAGATATGCATTCAGTCACCTCAAACGAAGTTAGAAATTGAAGTCGAATGCATGGCGCATCCCTAAGGGATTGATCAACGCCGGAGAGCTTTATCCTTTTTTTTTATATATATACATATATATGCATACATATATTTACTTGCAGATTTGCATGTTACATTCATAAATAATGTTAAATTCCAGCTTCTTTCGTCGATAGCATACCATGTGATGAGCTTCAAACTCTGGCGCAGTTGCTCCATCATAAAAAACTTATTATGGAATCGTTATTGAAGAATTTGCGTGATCCGGTATGTTCTCTCTTTACCCCCCTTGTTAACCCTTTCGGGACCACGGGTCCAACCTCCTCTGCATCTCTGGCCCTCAGCATAGAAGACATCGGATGTATTATTGTATTATTCTTGTTATTTTCTATGTCACGTGTATATG